CTGAACAAAACAAAGATTCCTATTCATATGGTCCTTATGGTCTACAGGGGGGGCATATAATAAATAAATTGCATCATTTGTTAGAAGGTGCTAAGTGCTATAGAAAAATGACAAAGAGAAGATAAAGGAATGTGAATTCAGGATTGGGGGTTGGGATTTTAGGTAGGTGGGCCTTTTAGAAGAAGGTGAAGGAGCTGATTTCATAAATATCAGACAGGAGATAGACAGAATAGCTAAAAAACAAAAACAAAATAAAACAAAAAACAGGCCCTCACGCCAGAGTGTCTGGCTTGTTGAGAGCCACAAAGGAGTGAATGGGGGGCAAATTATGAGAAGGGGAGGCGATCAGGGAGGGCCATGCAGGGGAGCCCGTGGTAAGACCTGGGGACAGCTGTAAGGATTTTGACCTTCACTCAGAGTGAAAGGAAGAACACAATCAGAGCAAATATTTTAGCAGGATCATTCTGGCTGCCATGCTGAGAATAGTCTGTGTGTAAGATTTGAGGAGAGAGATAAGAGTAAAAGCAGACAAATAAATTAATGTAATTAGTAAAGAGGTAACAAGGCTGGTTCATGTCAGCCCTTTGGTCCTGGTTCCTTAACTCTAGCAATAAGGATGTCTCCCTTAGCCCCCTTGGAGCAAGAAGGGTACCTTTCACAGGGACCTTTTTATAATTAAAGCATTTAATTATAAATGCTTTAGAACAGAATTTAATTATATTCCACTTTTATGTTATCAATGATATACTGCTATTGTTAGTAATTTGATCAGAATAGGATTTGGTCACATAAATAATTATAAAATATTTATTAGAAGAATACATTAAAATAAAGGCAATTCTTGATTGCTTGGACACTGAGCATATTTTTTTTATAACCTAGGTCTGGGTAGTGTTTAAAATTCTGGACCAGCTTTTCTTGTGATCCAAAATATTTCCTATGCAATATCTACCACCAAGCAAAAGATGCTTTCAATATCATCTTCAGGGAAACATCATTAGGAAGTTTGATTGGTAGGACAAATAGACATTGCATCTCAAAGAGTTTTCCAGAAGTGTCTAAATTTTGGAGAATCAGACCCAGTCTTTGCTTCACTGACAGAGAGAACAACGTGAATTGATTGTGTAAGTCAACTATCACCAGTGTTCTGGGGCCTTCCTGCATGTGGAGTCCAGTCGATGGTGTGCTGGTTAATGTTTAATGACCAGCACTGGCAGGGAAGAGGGAGAAGGGGTGGGGGAAGAGTCCTGATACTAGTATATGCTAATTTCTGTGGTGTACCTATTCCCAGCTTTGAGCAGTTATGCTGCTGATGGGACTCACAACATGCTTGAATATTTAGCAATCGCTTGTGAGAGCCAGCTTCAGAACACCACAGAGTCCAATTACAATGAATTGAGCCCCCATCCCATTTACTGTAAGAACGCCAGGTCCCACTTTGCTACCCCCTACCCCTCTGCCAGATCTTTCCGGGAAGCCCCAAGTGCTTGCCTGCTCCTGGTAGGGCTGTCCTGCTTGCGTTTTCAGGGTTGCTCTCTTCTTAACAGCACCCCTGGCTGCTGAGGCTGCTGTGCGGCCTCAGCACTGTTCCTTCCTTAGGAGGGCTGTTGCAGGGAACTTTCTGCCATCATCACTTCCATTCCATCCACAAAGCTTGCCGGCTCCACCTGGAAAATAGATTCTAAATCATGGATAACGCTGTTCTATCTCATCTCCCCCTTCTTGACTCAGCCAAGGCGCTGTCGTCCCTCCCCTGGAGGAGCCTCCTACCTGGCCTGCTCCTTCCCACACAGCAACCAGAACCCTTAAAAAAAAAAAAATTAAAACGTAATGTTTACATGTGCCAAGAACGAAAAAAAAGGAATTATTTCAACCTAAAAACAAAAATCTTTTCCTATCAAGTTGTTCAGGTGTCAGCATTTAGTTACAAAACACATATCAAAATACCTCAGATTTAAAGAAAATTTTTCAGTGGATACGTGTCCCTTGGTTTTAATAAATTCACTTCGGGGTGTAACCACCAACCTCAAGTGGCAGAGGTTAAGGCTTGAGTCCATGCCTTTGTGCCCAAAGAATCTATGCTTGACTACCCAACAGGGCTTGGCATTAGAGTGGTAGCCTGGACAACAGGAAGGAGTCAGAACCGCTGACCTGACCTAGCGCTGACCGTCAGAGGTTCCAGATGGCTTTGCGGGGGATGAACCACAGGAAATGGGATGAGGTGGGACAGTTATAATTTCAGGACAACCATGGCCATTGCTGGGGAATCCGAATGCCTGTTCAGGGGTGGTAGTAGTGATGAGTGGCTTCCAGAAACCCAAGCTTTAATCTGGCAGCAAAAGTGGGATTCTTTTCCCAGCTCTGATTTCCCCTGAGAGTGTCAACTAGACCACGAAGGGCTGAGGGCTGACGCCCCAGTCCCTGCAACCTGGCGATAGCTCTGGAGGAGTGCAAAGGAGAGTGACAGTCTCCCGTTTGCACTGGGAGTACAGGGCAGACCCTGGGAAGGGTTATCTAGTCACAGGCTCTTACCAGCTTCCACGTGAGGCCAACTTGGCCATTTATCATATAACTGAGGAAACTGAAATCAGCTGCAGCCTGCTCTACTCCAAGCTGCCACCCTGTCTTGACGTTTCCATTTGCATTTACTGTAGGGCTGGCTATGGGATCACGAGCATCTTTTAAATATAATCTAACTTTCACAAGAAGACTACAGGGCATTGAGCTGTGGTGTCTTTGTATTTCAATTTTATTATTATGGAAGAATGGGCTTATTGGCAATATTTTTTCCTGACAATAATTCATTAGGTGCTGTCAACAGCAAAAATCTTAATGGACTTTAGCTATGTGAGCCATATGTGTTATTTCTTTCTTTCTCACCCTCAGGGCCATTTAGAATGAAGGATTCTCAGGAAATGGACAACATATTGTCAAGTTTGAAAGCATATGGGGCTGAACAGGATTCTACTGAAGTCTCTTGGTCTTATAATCCAATATTTATAAGCAATTAAAGTTCACCAAAGTCTATAAAAACATGCCACAGTTGTGAATCAAATTAGTGCCTTGACCTACCCAATTACACAAAGAGAACATCAATATTATAATAAGGCAGCCAATTCTCTTCTTAGAATTAATGTAAACAGTGATTATGCTTTAAAATGAAATGAACACTGTATTTTCAAACTAGAAGAAAGAAGCCCAGGCTAAACGATGCAAAATTCCAAGTAGGAGAGAGTTCCTTCATGTTTGATTAGTAAACTGACAAGAGAAGTTGTCTTTTTTTTTTTTTTTTGGCATTTCAACAAAAATTTCCTTTTGATTCCAATCAATCCCTCTCTTCTTTTATAAAGACTGACTGTCCATAGATTTAAAGTGATGGCTTTGTCAGGTGAGGTTGAAGAGCAAAGAGTTTCAAGTCCTCTAGCAAGTCATTGTTGAATTATTCAGGAATTTCAAACCACACCCAAATGCAGGTGTAAGTCACAGCCACCCATCTGCCTATTGAGGCCCTTCATCCTTGTCGACATGAGAAAGATGTTTCAGATCTAGGGCGGGAGCTTCTATTGTGGTGGAACAAGTAAAATTATACAAGCGCTTTACTCATTTCCTGTCTCTCACTTCTTATTCTCCTGATTTTTCTCTCTGCTGTCTTCATTCACTGGTCACAGGTTCCCATCATAGAAACTATTCAGGAAACATGAATTCGCCAATAAATTTAAGAAATCTAGGTGAGAAAAATGTAGAGTAAGAAAGTTACTGTAAATTGTCATTGTTTTAGTTAGAGGGATATTTTGGGGGATCTTCTCTCGATGGAAATAGGGCTCCCCTCCAAATTCTTTTGTTCTTTAAGTAGTCATTGAAAGACTCTTCTGTAATTTCTGAAAACAAATGAATTTAAAAAATGTTTTGCTATGAAAGGTTAGTGGGCCACAGGACAAAAGTTTTTGTGAGTTTCGATGATACTTATTTTATGGCTGTATATTCAAAATAATTCTGCATGGGCTGTGAGGTGAGTTGGTCTATTATTTCCCTGATCTCCAGTCAGGCTATTTATTAATAGATTTGTAGGCTGGTTTACTAGCAGCATGTGGCATACCCTTGACACCTTGATTATTTACCCTTGAGATTTAAGGATGGCTTTTTGCTTTATTATTGTTTCCGGAGAATGGTTGGTGCTCTACAGACAACTTAACACCTTCTTTTGGGAAGCATTTGTACTGGAAGTGTAAATTATGCTATCAGCATCTCAGGTGAATCTGTACAAGGGAGGGGCTTAGAACATACCACATCTTATAAATGTGATGACTTTATAAAAAGAATTTGAAGACGATGCCAGAAATGGGTTCCTTAATTCAAAATGTTGTCATTTATCCTTTTAGGCTCGATGTATTTAACTCAGAAAGGGTGAAGGCAAATTATTTGCATCCTTACTTTCCTTTTTATAAGGAACCTGTTTCAGGAAGTCGGAGTATTGAACTCTCACAACTTGCACTTTTTGTACTAAGTCACATGTTTACATTTCTCATTCCTCAAGATATCATTGAGATTATTACTTACAGCTTGTTATTATTTCTTGACTAGGAGCTAATTCTTATACTGAATAAAAATGTATACTTCTTATATTGATCAGAGAGAGTAAACAACCCATTCTGTCATCGTCTTCAAAGCCACTGTGTTTCCATGAATGGAATTGTTTTCTAGGTGGTTTGCATTTTCTATTTGAAAGAGAACAACAAAACAATGGCATTTTTTTTCTTTCTCTCTGAACTTTCCTGGTTGTTTATTGAACATTGAATGACAGAGTCAATTTATTCAGTATTATACTTCAGTCATTGTTAAACACCATTATGCTTTATTTATATTTTCAGTTCAAATAAAGTTTGTAGACAATCATTAGGCATTAAACTGAGTGTTTTGTGTAAGTCAAACTGTAGTGCGTTAACGTTCGGTTAGTGTATTATTTTCCCCACTAATCTATTCTCCCTCTCTTTTCATATGTCTGCATTAGGAAAGGCAAGTGGCAGCTGTAGGTATTTAACTGCCCTGGGCTGTCAAAGTCTCTCCAGGTTGCTCCTGCATGCAGTTGGAGATCCCATGGCTACAACCAGCCACACATCTACAATATTTTATTCGAAGTTGAGGAGACATCGCTTTACTTCCAAGGAGCTCACAGTTGAATGAAGCAGCTGATGATCTTCCCCTTGAAAATCTAACCTATATTATGACTCATGAACTTTCCTTGGTAGAGACATGTTACCTATTATCCATTTGTATACAGTTTACTTCCATTGTTTTCTGCTGTATTGCAAATCGTTTTTGTGACTTATTTGATGTTAATTGCTTCAATCAACTCTTTAAAAGATACAATTACATTTGTTTTCTTTCAGTCCCCTAGCAACTTTTCAGTTCTTCAAGACCTTACAAAAATAATTTAGGCTCCTGTGAATTCATTAACAAATTCCCTTCATAATTTAGGATTCTTGTCAGGCCTGCCAATGTGTGCATAGCATATTAAAAAATGAACATTCCCCTTAACCTGCTTACAAAACAAAAACGAATAGGAAACTCCTATTCTTTTAATATAATTAACCTTGAAATTGTTATTTTCTTTCAAATGAAAGCATTTTTTTCTTATTCATCTTAGACTGTAATTGTTTGAGAATTACCTTCTATCCACCACAAAGCCTTCTATCAACTTTGTAGAGTGTCCCTCAGCTTGAATTAGTTTGAGATTTCCTTCTGATTAGATTTAGGTTTTGCATTTTGGAGGAGGAATATCATCAAAGGGAAATTGTGTCTTTCTCAAGACACACAACTTCTCATATCAAGATATTCCTTTGTAACTTGTACTACTTTGTGATATATGACTAATTTATGGGGAGATATTTGACATTATATAAATATCCTATTCCTCATGAAACTTTCATCCTCTAGTCTTAGCATCCATAAATGATTCTTGCTTAAATTAATTATTGATTGATTAATTAATTATTAATCAATTGTTTGAAACGTAATTTTCTATATCCCCTATTGCTTCTATATTATAATGTGAAGATGAGCTTTCCTTTCACCCTTATTCATTTATTCATTCATTTACTTATAACAGCACATATTCCTGGACTCTTATTTTAATTGTTCCAGTTATATGTAATTATTCTTATTATTTAAATTGAAGCACAAGTTGTCCCAGATTTGGTCAGTGGAGGCTTCTTTAGGACTTTTTTATACCCTCATTTTCTTTTGCTCAATGATAGATGATCCATAAGAGCTTTATCTGCTCATATTCATTTACTATCTGAATCACAAAAGTTTCACCTTTTTTTTTTATTGTTCAAATACATTTGTCTCCAATTTCCCGCCACCACTTTCCCCTGCCCCACCCTCAATCCTTCCCCACTTTGGCCTTGTCCATGGGTCCTTCATACATCAGATAGTAACATTAGGTAAAAGTATAACTTTCAGGAAGTTAAAAACATGACTCCTACACAGCCATAGTAAGTGTTAATTATTTTACTCTTTAGTGAAGGGACCAATAGGATGATAAATCTAATTAAAAGGGAAATTTGAGAGTCTGAGTACTTATAGACAATGAAACATAGAATGCTGAAGTAAGATTGTACAGTCAGATATCAAATTGGTTAATAATTCTATATAGCAATAAAATTGTGTTTGTACTATCTTTTCTATGTACTATCTTTGCAATTTAACATTTAATTTCACAGAGACCAGGCACATATGAACATTATATTCTATTCATCTATTTTAATAGAAAACCTAAAATTTTCATTGGTGTCTTTTGTAGATCTCCTTAAATCTCTCTTACTTCAATTTAAGCCCATTTTACCTGTGAAGTTAGAACTTGTCTGCTGTAAAATCCAACCTGAGTGGGAAGAGTCAGCAGACTCTTGGTCTCCTCCTCTTTAAAATAATTGTTTACGTGTTTTCTGTTACTTTCTGGGTTTTGTTTTTTTTTAATCTTTGAGTGTTTTTTTTTTTTCTGGCTATAAATTTTTTTTTCACACTTCTTCGAACTGCAGGATCCCAAAGAGGATACTGTTTTCTTCTGAGTCTAACAAATCCCAAGTACACATGGCATCTATGTTATTTCATCATACCCATAGCTGCAAATGCTGTGTGGGATCGCACTCTAGACTTATCACTTTTTAACCAGTAAATTAAAACATAAGATATCATAAATTGCCAGATTTTCTATTTATTGTTATAAATATGTTTATGTTGCTTACTGTTTAAACCATTCATTTATTCATTAAAATATATTTATTGTTGTAAAAAAATACATACATCAAATTGACTACCTTAACCTGTTTTAGTGTACAGTTGAGTATTGTTACATGTATTCCCATTCTTGAGCAAGCATCTCTGAAACATTTTTATCTTGCAAAACTGAGACTCTCTACTCATTAAAAAATGACTCCCCACTTCTCCAAAGTTGTTCTGGCAACCACCATTCTATCTTCTGTTTCTGTGGGTCTGGTTATTTTAGGTGACTCATATTAGTGGAATTACACAATATTTGCCTTTTGGAGATTGGCTTATTTTACTTAGCATGATGTCTTCATGGTTCATCCATGTCTTAACATGTGTCAGAATATTTAAAGCTAATTAGTATTGCACTATATGTATATACATTTTGTTCATTCATTCGTGAATGGATACTTGGGTTTTTTCCTACGTCTTGTCTATTGTGGATAATGCTGCCACGAATATGGCTATGCACGTACCTCTTCAAGGTTCTGCTTTCAATTCTTTTGGATATATACCCAAAAGTGTAATTGTTGGATCATATTTTTAATTTTTTGAGGAACCTTCACACTGTTTTTCATAGTAGCTGCACCATTTACATTCCAACCCGCAATGCACAAATCTTCCAATTCCTCTGCATCCTGGCCAAGTCTTGTTTTCTACTTTTGTGTAGTAGCCGTCCTAATGGGTATAAGATAATGTCGTACTGCAGTTGTGTTTGCATTTCCCTAATGATTTGTGATGTTGAGCATCTTTTCATGTGCTTGTTGGTCATATGTGTAGCATCTTCGGTCACTCATAGTTTTAAACCCCAGGTTTTGTGCTGAGGGCTAGAGAAACAAAGATAAGTAAGTTTCTAGACCTCAAGAAGTTCAGAGTTTACTTAGGAAACTAATCTGTCAGCAAATAACTGTGAAACAAAGTAATAAATGTCCTGAGAAAAGTATGCACAAAGTGCTTTCTGGTAATTTATCTTACCTTGTTATGGCTAATATTTTTCTTTTTGGTATTTGCTTCTGAATATACTGGTGGTCACTGATACCTTATTCCATCAGAGATAATTTACAAGTTTGCTCTTTCAGCTTCTTTTACTTACCTTTCAATGTTCTTTGGCTATTGCAATTGAGCTGAATTTCCCCAGGTCCTTAATTGAACAGAATAAAGCAGAATAGGCTTCTGGAGTTTATTTCAGTCATTACACAACTGTTTGTCACAATGCCTAAGGCTTGACATACTGCCTCACTGCCAATTCCTAAACTGTAGGAATGTCTCATCTACTTTACATTTCAAAGGTCAACATTCTCTCCCTCAACAATTGTTCTTTACTTTCTGCAGTGTAAACAGGGCTTAAACACTGTTGAAAACTGCCTGTCCCCGCCCCCCCCTCCCCCGCCGCCCCCCGCCAATCCTCTTTGACATAGAGTCAGGAAGAGTAGGGAGAAAGAGGAATATGGGGGAATATGAGAGACTATCTGTTAGCAGCATGTGATTAGTGCACTGGGGTGCTGCCTATACTTGATAAATGGTCACTGATTAAGAAACGCTTTCCTTTAGAATTCACATTCACATTGAGACAGCCATGGTTCATAAGTGTTACCAAAGTATTTGGTCAGAACCACAAACCTAATACCTCTATGTTGGGATATTAGAAACCCATTTATTTTCTCTCAGGAAATAGTTAAATTAGTAGTAGAATCAGACTTGTGAAATATAAACTAACAAAGGCTCAGAGCAGATTTCTCCCTGCAAGAAAAGTATCAGTGATTCCTGCTAGGCTGATAATTAGCCATTAATTACCTATTAACATTTGACTAAATTCCTTATGTTCTTTAGTTGTATGTCCATCAGTCTGGGGTAATTTGATATTTCTTAGAAATCACCGCTGTTGCAGTATTCAGGGATAGGTGAAAACAGGGCGACATTTACTCAATTTACTACAAAAATAGTTTCAGTTACAGCCTGTCATTTTATCTCTACTCTGAGACAAGATTTTCTGAGTATAAGAATATAATCCTCTATATTAAGCTTGGACAAGAATAGATGTTAAAAGTTACCCACAGTTATACTGACAGTTGAATATGCCTTCCATTTTAGAACTTGAACAAATTGTGACTTAAAATGTATATTTGGGGTAATATGTAAGAACTTGATGTCAGTCTGTTTCCTGAGAGTTATTTGCTGAGAGGTATCTCTGTAAATTATAGCAAGTAAAATTGTAAGCACCTAGCAGAAATCTGTTATACTCCTGACAGTCTATAGTGTTATATCACAATGCTGTCATAGTGTGGTCCTTGTCTGGTAGAATTGCAATATCTAGAAGCTTTTTTTATAAAGGCAAATTCTCTTTGATACAGGTAGTTTTAGAAAGTAAGCCATATCCACATGAATCCAAGAAGAAATGGAAAACTTAAATAGCCCTACAACTCTAGAGAATAGATGTATAAAAACTATATACTAAAAGCTACAAAACTGCTAAAGGAAATTAAAGAAGACTTAAATAAAGGGAGAAATTTGCCAAGCAAAAATTAGAAGTCTCAGAGTTAAGATAGCAATTCTCAGTTCTCTCCATATTGAACCAATGCAATGCCAATCAAAATCCTGGCAGGATAATTTTAAAGAAGTTGACAAGCTCATTCTAAAATCTATATGGAAAGTTAAAGAATCCAGAAGAGCTGAATCAATTTTGAAAAAGAAAAACAAGTTTTGAGGACTAATAGTACCTGATTTCAAGGCTTACTGTACAACTACAATATTCAACACAGTTTAGAACAGATAGAGAAACCAGATATATATCCAAACATACATGGTCCAATTGATTGTCACAGATATGCTAGAATAATTTAATGATGCTGAAACAATTGGATAT